TCAAAGCAGGTATTACTTCATTGTTATTTAACATAAATATATTTAATTTTTATTGTATGGATTCCTAGTCATCGAAGTTCTATCTACAAGGGTATAAAAACTCGATATCGTTACCTCGAAAAATTTGTACACAAATAGAGTAATAAATTTCAAAAGGATCAGTTCAGGAGTTTTAAAGTTATGAGGGGCACCGATTTTGAAAACGTCAGTTGCTTTAAAGTTTTATACAAAAAAAAATCAGTGTAAAACGAAAATCCGGCAGGTATATAAAAATATATATATAGAAATTTAAGTTGGCTATTGATAAATTTAAATCCACAAATTGCTTATCTTATCTTGGATGTTGATGCACTAAGGTCATTACATTCAAGTGGCCCGTATGACACCAGGCAAGTGCCTGTTTGGGTTAGGTGTTAGTAGGCGCGATGGAAAATATAGGACAGAATAGGAGGAAATTGACTACCGGCGTGCTGCCAGATTGTTAGCTTGCATGCTTACTAAGTGTGTTATAATTAAAGATTTTAATTTGGGAAGTGTATCTACGTTAAAGATTAGTGTGTACAAATCATTATAATTTGCACATAGCACTCTAAAAGGTTCATGCAGTTCAAAGGAGGTTCTACAGTGGCGCAACACTAATGGGATATAGGATCTAGTAGTTCTACATGGTACATGGAAATTAAGCTGACTCAACAAGTCAGCACTTTCCACATCACCATGGATAAGGTTAAAAATAAAGGTTATCCCTAGCATCGTTCTACGATTGGCTAAGTACGGCAAGTTTATTAATAAGAGTCTATTAGAGTAGGAAGGTAATCTTTGGTTTGCATCCCAATTTAAACCGCGTAGAGCGAAAAGTAAAAAGTTCTTTTGAACCGACTCAATGCGTTTACTATGGACGCCATACTAAGGGCTCTATACGCAGCATCCATATTCTAAGATAGGACGAACTAAAGAAGTATATAAGGATTTAGTAACATAGGGGTCATTGAATTCCTTCTAACACCGTTTAATAAAACCAAGAACACCCCTGGCTCTATTCACCATAGACGAAATATGATCAATAAAGTAAAGTTTTGGGTCCAAGCGGACGCCCAAATCATCAACAGAATTGATTCTTTCCAAAGAGCAGCAGTTCAGCGTGTAAGTAGCAAGCTTAGGCACGACACGGGAGAATATCATTAGCTTGCATTTCGAGCCATTTAAGTTTAATAAGTTTACACGGCACCAAGTTTGAAAATTATTAAGATCTGTTTGTAAATCCGACTGGCAGGCAACGTTATTGTATTGCTCACAAAGCTTGACGTCATCCGCGTACATAAGTACTCTGGAGTTAGTCAAGACTTCGGGCAGGTCATTTATCAATAATGTAAACAATAAGGGTCCCAAATGGCTTCCTTGCGGGACTCCATTGAAATAACTTGAGATCCAATTAAGAAGATCACTTGGAAAACCCATTGAATCGAGTTTTCTAACGAGGAGAGAATGGTTAACAGAGTCAAATGCTTTACTGAAATCAGTATAGATTACATCTGTCTGACAATTATTATGGAAGCCCTTTATAATATAGGAAGAGAGCTCCAAAAAATTTGTTGTTGTTGATCTTCGCTTAATAAAACCATGTTGACATGGAGAAATACCCGATCTACAAAGGTGCTGTAAGTGAGGGGTGATAATGTTTTCAAATAATTTAGGTATGGCCGACAACTTAGAGACCTCTTTAATTGTTGGCATCCGATTCACTACCTTTTTTGTGGAGAGGAATAAAGATTCCTTCCAAATAAGGGGAAAATGGAAGATTACTAACGATAAAGAAAGCAACTTCAGAAGGTGAGCACACAGCCAGGAATACCGTCGGGACCTGGCGAATAAACTGGCTTGACACGATGAAGATCTAAATGAAGAGAGCTTTCGTTTAGGCTAGGACTGGAAATTAAATTTGATTTGGGTATGAAGAAAAACTGCAAAAATAGATCGGCTATTGCCTGATCATTATTTGTAGTAGTATTTTTAAATGACAGTGAGGAAGGATGTGTGTTAGGCTTACTTTAGTGTTAACAAAATTAAAAAACTGTTTTGGGTCCTGACAAAACTGGAGCCTGCAACGAGTCAAATACTTTTTACAACACTGCGCGTTCAGCACGGTAAAGCTTGTGCAAGCTGATAAATAAGATAAAAAGGCAGATTAAGAACCGGTGATTTTAAATTTAGCATACAGCCTAGATTTTCGGGTTGCGTCAGAGGCGATACCCTGCTAAGCTGACTCACGCCTGATCTGTGGCAAAACAAAGATCGAGCAAGCGCTGTAAGGAATTTCGTAGATGGTTGACTTGAGACAGCGAAATTTCGAACAAGCCAGCGATAAAGTCATGTTGAGTAGGTGTATGGAGAGTATTCTTGGATTTATTTGAGGACTGAATAGCCCCAGGGATATTAAAATCACCTAGGACTACCAACTGGTCCCAATTCAAAAGTCTACTGCAAACTATCTGAAAAGCGAAAAGGTGGTTCCAATAAATAGGAAGTTCCTAGAATGGAGGTTTGTAGGAACAGGTAATTGGTTATCTGCCGTGCCATTGTCGGCCGGTATTACGGGCCTAACACCCTGGGCAGATATATCATTATATACGGGACTTTGAGGGGTCAATATTTGCGACCCCCCATGGGACAACACAGAAATCACCACTCCCGCTGCACGTTCGGGTACCGAATCTTTTCTAGCGCTCGATCTCAACACTCTTGGAATTAATGCTGAGGTCGAGGGCTGTACCGTGGGAGGCTGCTGCTGAGAGGTTGCAGGTAGTTGGGGTCCGTCTACATGCTGCCCACCAATAGCAGTTTTTTTGCGCCTAAGAGACTCATTTAATAGCGTAAGGCTATTAAATTGGGTGTCCAGCGCCAAGAACATAGCAAGAGTTTTACGAAAACTCGTTAAAATGCCGCGTTAAAACCGCTTTTGGTTTGCCGCATGAAAGACATCATCTCCCTTTCTACATCGCGACAGGCCTCACAACAGTAACGCAGGCCGATGTTTTTTTTACATCGTCCACCGTCCGAGCTGCAACTCCAATACACTTGGCGTGCATGACGTTGTCGCACAGCCAGCAGCCGATTGTAACGTCACCTGCAGCAATTGCCTTTTTGCAGGTTTTGACGAAACAGACAATATTTCCGGACATTATAAGGACTTACCACTGTACTTGTACTTGGAAAAAATAACAACAGAGATATGAAGAAAGAAGTGAAGAGTCACAGAGAGAGCGAGAGAGCGGGAGAGCGAATGAGATCGGATAAGATAAGAAGTGCAGCGGCACAGCTAAAGCGAGAGAGTGGAAGAGCGTGGGAGATAAGTAGATAAATCGTTTAGCTGTTGCGACGGCGCAAACAAAAGCTAGACGAAGAAGGCACAAAAGGAATGCAAAATATGCTAAAGCTAGCACTAGCAGCACAACTAAATTGGAAAATAAAACCAATTATATACACAAATTAGAATAGCTGCATGCACACGCGAAGTAGACGGGAAGTTATAAATACAAATTAGAAAATTTAAGTTAACCCCGGTGCACTATGGGCCAGGCGGCCCGGATTTTGGCCAAAAGGGTCAAAAATGGTTTTAAGAAAATGAGAAAAAAAACAATTGCATTATAAAGAGGATAGATTAAGCTATATTTCTTCAACATTTTACTACTCTCTATTCAATGGGTACGAGATGGCAGCTAACCAAAGTGGATATTTGCGTTTAATTTTTTCATTTTATTGGCAAAAATAAAAATGTCCTGCCCCTATGCGGGCAGCTATAGTCACATCGAAATGCTTTTAATGTAACTAAAAGAACCCAAAATTTAAAAAAAAAATGTTTTTTATATATTACACTTATTATTTTACAAACAAATTTAAAAAGAACACAGTTTTTAACCCATTTTTCACAAGTTGTGATTTCAAACTTAGGGTACCTCGACGTACCACCTCCGATCAAATTGAAAAAAATTTTAAAAATAACTTTGAATATTTCGCTTTTACGTATAAGCTGTCCCAAATTCGCACTCTGAGGTTTTTTATACCAAAATTAAATTTCTAAACTTATATTATTAAAAAAAAGTCTTTATAATACTGCCCAAAGGCAGGCAAGAAATAATATATTGCAAGCATTGACAAGCTAAAGTACAATTTAAAAAATTTGTGGCATACTTTTAGTGCCACATTTTACAAGCATCTATAAAAATGATTTTTTTGGTGAAAACTTAAAAAAATTATTGGTTTAAAAACTACTTTTTTTTGTTTTTGTTGTAATAGAGACCATATAGGAAGTAAAAAACAAAAATTGCGGTAGATTGCTTCAAAGACGTTCATGTAATTGAGACTAGAAATTTGAACTTAAGGGGCTTAAAACTAAAAAACTACTGCATTTAATGCAACAAATATATTTTTTCTAATAAATATTATCTAAATACTCATTTCTGTAAAGTGAGATCCAAATCGAATTGCTGGTTTTTTATTTTTTATAAAAAACAAAAAAAAGGAAATATTTTTCAACTTTGGTAGGGATTATTTTCATGAAAAAAAATATTTTCTATTACTAATTTTTGAACACATAAAATTCAATGTTTTGAGAATGTGCATGCCAAATTTCACGTCTCTAAAAAATTTATTTTAGAAGTTACAGAGTTTTGGCCAAAATATGAACTTCCTGGCCCATAGTGCGGTGGTTAAATTCAAATTTTAATACAGAACGAGAGCGCAAGAAAAAAACACGTCCGTTCACTTGGAAAGATTACATTGATTTTTTTTGGAGGTATAGTGAAAAATAATTCATGTTGCTTCAGATATTACACGATAGCGAATGTATCAATAGGAATTTTTACTTGCAAATTTATTTACATTTTATCAAGAGTGCCGTAAACCATAGATTTTGTTTGTTTGTAATATTAATAAGGTAACCTCTGTCATAAACGTAATCCATTAGAAAAAATATACTTATTTAAAACATTCTTCTATTTCAGGTGAAAATGAAGCTTCTGTTAAACAATTAGAACAGAATTTAATGTTACTGAAGGATAAGTTTACAAAATTACAGCGTAGTTATTCGGAACTAGAGCGGAAGTATAACGCAATTATTGCAGCAACGAACGAAGATAACCCTGGAGAGCTCAACAGTTTTGTATCCCGATTGTCATTAACAGTTTCATCTCTATTTGGACATGAAACTTATTCCGATATTAACATTCGAACACAGTCAAAAGTCTTTCCCGCTCATAAGATTATTCTTCATGCTCGGTCAGATAAATGGCGCGCTGATGTCTTGGACAAAGTGAAAGAGTTGGACTGGAGCGATTTAAAAGAAGATGTCGTTTTAGCTCTATTGCGCTGGATTTATACTGATCTCATTGATTTTCATCATGACGGATTGACTTTAGATGTACTAAAAGCTTCACATCGGTTTGGCTTGCCAGCTCTTTTAGGATTGTGTGAACGGACATTAATTACATCAGTTGGTGTAAGATCCTGCGTACGATTTTATTGTGTTGCAGAAGAAGTATCTGCAACAACACTTTTGGAATATTGCTCTAGTTTAATATCAACATACTGGGACGATTTAACAACGCAAGACTTTGAGCATATGTCCGGACCTTTATTGTATAAAATGCTTAAAAATAAAACAAAATATCCACTCCATGCTGCTGTTAGACTCCTGAGGGAAGACGTTGTGTTCCTGTGTATTGTAGAAAATGATAGCACAGTAAGTTCATGTTATTTTTAAATAAATTTCTTCTTAGTAATATAGTGTTTTGACTCCCGTATACCCTCTATCTGGTGCTTAAATAATTATTATAACATTCCCTACGGAAAAGTACAATTAACCAAGTATGAAAGCTGCAATTAAGTATCTTCGGCCTATATATACCCGGTACTCAATCCCTTTTTTCGTTGGATTTAAATTTAAATACACATTTTAATTACTATAATGCAAGTAAATTTAACATCTTAAGTTATGTTTTGTCATTTCTTTCTCTCCCTTTTTTCACAACAATTCAGTAAATATAGACAAAAAATTAATTAACAAAATTAATGTTGCCTAGTTAATGTATTCCAAGTTTTTTGAAGATTGCAAAGAAATTGTTTTGGAAGGGGTGCACATTGGGCCAGGAACCCCGTTTGCGTGGCCAAAATACAATTTTTTAAAAGTAATTTTAATAAAATGTACCCAACCCTATCTTGATCTATATATATTTTCACACAAAATATTGTAATATAAACATTTTTTATTCACAATTTTTTTTTCAAAGTACGTTTAAAGTTGAAAATTCTGTTCGAAATGTAAAAAGTCATAACGCACTCCTTATTCATTTTTTCAATAAAAATTCCGAATTAAAACTTTCTTGTACTATTTTTTATCTTCAGCTCATACTAAAAAGTATATATGCATTGAAAATTTTGACATTTCTATTATGTTTGTACTTTTTTCACTAAATATTATGAGGGAATCCTTCGATTTCGCTAGTTTTGAGTAACTTCTATTACAATGTTCCCCGATGTTCCGCTATTAAATGGGCTAAATTTTATGCCAAGTTCTTCGGAATAGTGTAATTTACGAATTGTATATGCGCCATTTTGCGCATTTTCATAAACTTGTCGGAAATCTGACATTAACTCTCTGATAGTAGGTACAGAAAAAAAAATTTTGGTGTCAATTTTTTACCGTATTGTTTGAGGGTCGCAGTTTTTTTGCATTTTCGATTGCATTTTTGGTATTCAATATGGTAGTCACACGGAAAGACGTAATTGATTTACTTTCGGAATCACCGAAAAATGATCAAATTGATCACTTATTAGTTAAATATAGCAAAAAAAATCAGATTTGAGTAAAAGCGAGTTACTTCGTTTTCAAGTAGCATTACGTACTTTGAAATCAAAGTATAAGCTTAAATATGAAGAAGCTTGTAGAAAACTGGACAGGTTTGAGTCAAAAAATAAAGACTGGCTATATTCGGAATTTTTTAATTTTGACAAAAATAAAAATGGAAAAGAATTGAGTTCTGGTCGAAAGCCACTGGATTTTAAAGAGAAATCTGCTAGGTCCAAAAGGCGGGAAATTTCATATATTAGTTCCGCTAATTCTCACGATCCACAAAGACTAATACTAGGTGCGCGATTTGCAGCTAATAAATCCAAGCAGCATATATATATATATCTCTCAAAAAGCTGAAATTGACCAAGAGATTAACAATTTGCATCCTTTAGAAGTTACTATAAATGAGGATCATAAAGCCAGAAACAAGGACTATCGAAATTACAGGCTTAATCACAGCAGAAAAAACAATAGACAATCAAACTTAGAGGACCTTTTTGATCGTTTAATGGATTCCTCAGATCCTATAATATCCAGCATGTCTGCATCGTCTCGTAGAAACAAGAGAAAACGTTTACCGTTACCAACAGAAGTGAAGGAGTTACTTTACTTAAATGATCCGAATCAAAGCTCTGAAAATGACATCGCAAATGAAGATGAAATTGAGTCCGAGTTTGAAAGCGAAGAAATTATGGGATCTAGTTCAGTTCAGGTTCTACTAGATGAGCTGGAATTATCAGAAGAGGAAATTTCGGATATTGATAAGTAGACTCTTTCTTCTCTGACGTATAGGAAATAATGATGACTTTTAATATAAATAAAAAACTAAAAAACAAGAAAAAAATTGAAAAAACAAAATTAAAAAAAAAAACAATTAAAAATTTTTTTTTAATATTAGAAAACAAAATTTTTTAATAAAAAAATAACCAAAAACCCTTAAAAAAAATAAAAACTAAAAACTAAGAAAATAAAAACATGGGATTTTGAATCGGACTAGAAACCTCCTCGTGGTATATCCTGGGTGTTTAATTACAGCAAATTCTAGCCGTCAATTGATTTCGATGTAGAAACATTTGAATTTTTGAGAACTGACTTCAAATTTGAAATCAGCGACCCCAAAACCCCCCTAGTATAAGGTGTCAAGCCAATCAAATCAAATTAAAATTTTTTCGTCCGCCATATTGGATCCGCCATTTTGAATTTTGCAAAACCCACTTCAAATTTGAAATCAGCGACCCAAAAACTATAAGAATAGTTATGAGCTGTTATAAATTTTCTATTTTTCTAGACGTTATTAATTTTGGCCACGCAAACGGGGTTCCTGGCCCAATGTGGGGTGGCGTTAAGCTGAAATGCACTCGATAAAAAAAAAACGACAACTTTTCGGGGTTTTGAGCGTCAAGCGTCGCATGCTTATTCGATCGTTAGTAAATTATAACTAAGTACAAGAAACTTAAGCATAGCATAGGGCTGGAAAGTTCTTTGACTGGAACTTCTAAGAGAGAGGGATAGGTAGCTCACTGGAAACCAGTTTGGTAGCGGGATCACACTGCCTATTTAAAACGGTTGGATATATTCTGATATATTTTCGAAAATGTGGAGAATAGTTATATTTTTTCCCCTATGGATTTAAATTGAACTTTTGAATTAAGGAACCAATTTAAATCATAACACTAAGCAAGAAATAGATAGAGAAGTCAAACAATACAAAAAAGTACTATTATAAAAACGGCTGAGCCTGGAACCCCAGAGCACCCGAACGAAATGTCTAACCCCCCAACCTCCGGCTTTTTCGAGTTCAAAGCACTCGTTCGAAACCGAGCACAACAAGAATTTAGTTTTCAGTGGCAGTTCGACCGTGGAACGATGAGCAGGGGTGCGTTTCTTTGCGCTGCGCTATCATTTCTGTGTATGTGTGTATATGTGTATAGGCGCTCTCACGTTTGTATGCGTGTGCAAATTTCTGTATGCACCCTGCAGTACCTGTCATCAGTAATTCGTCAACGTTTCATCGACAGTCAAGGGGGTGCTGTTGATGATTCATCGATGGCAGGCCATACAAACTGGTGATTTAATTAACATGGGCATATCCTAGGCTGTCATCAATAAAAATTCATCAACAATTAATCGATGATTCATTAACAATTCATCAACAAAGTCATCATCAATTCATCGATGTTTCATCAACAATTCATCGATGTTTCATCAACAAATTTCTCAACGGCCGGGCCATGGTACTGCCGACGACTGCCGTCTAGACTATCGCCGTAACTGTATCGTGGGCATAGCGTCGTAGTAGAAGTCGCAGTCGGCAGAGGGTCGACTCGGTAGAAGTCGCAGTCGGCAGAGCGTCGCCTCGGTAGAAGTCGCAGTCGACGCGTTGATGACAGTGGCCTATTGATGACTCGCGGTACTGCAGGGTGCATGCAGAAATGTGCACACGCATACAAACGTGCGAGCGCTTGTACTTATATACACACATACACAAAAACAAGAGCACAGCGCAAAGAATCGCAGCCCTGCTCATCGTTCCACGGTCGATCTGGCACTGAAAAGTGAATTCTTGTTGTGCTCGGTTTCGAAAGAATGCTTCGAACTCGAAAAAGCCGAACGCACTCTGGGGTTCTAGACATTTCGTTCGGATGCTCTGGGGTTCCAGGCTCAGCCGTTTTTATGACAGTACTATTTTGTACTGTTTGATTTCTCTATGTATTTCTTGCTTAGTGATCATAATTTGATTTGTTAATTTTTGTTTTTTATATGCGGATATGTTTAAAGTAACAATCATTTCCTCTTCAGCAGTAAACTTGCAGAAATCAAATAAAAATTAATTGCCGAAATTTATTGCATTTGGAGCCGGAAGCTGCAGCAGTAGTGTCTAAATTGGATTTTGACAAATAGAATTTAGACAAACTTAGCTTCTTAACCCGTCTGCATTACCCACACCAACAGTGCAATTATAACTTATCTTGTGCGGTGGTAAAGCTTAACGTCCAGGGTATTGGAGGGAGGTGGCTTTAAGCTGAAACGTGTGCATTTGCATAGGAAAAAGAACACAGAAAATTGTAGGGGTTTTGCGCGTCGAGCGTTCATTTAAAATTAAGAACTATGTTAATTACATGAAAGTTAAACATAACATTGGAGAGGATTGGATATCTCTTGGAGGTTCTGAGAGGGAGGGAGAGATAATGTACGGGATATTTCGAGGCTGGTGGCTTGAAAAAAAGGCGCGAATAGAAACTGAATACAATCCGATACCAATCAAAAATTTGATAAACAGGCATCATTAAGTATATACATATATGTATATTCTTGGTCAGCATTACCACCCGATTTGATTTTCTTTCATAGTCAACAAGATAGGAACTGGGTGGACCGAAAGTAAAAATTTAAATATTATTTGTTATATATGTGGGTTTCACACAAACAGCCAATTTTTAGCATATTGTAAACATATTTTAAAATACAAATTTTGCGCAACTTTTTTTTGGAAAAATGCATTTAGTTTCGTTGATTTAAAATACCATAATTCGGGCGATATGAAGGCTGAATGTATAATAACAATATTGCCTTTGTGTAGGCTACGACGCAAAATGTTCTTAGCAAAATTTATCCGCAGTAAGCAGTATTCCTGTTCCGATATTGAAATCAACTAAAACAAAAAAGGAAACTAACTTCGAATTACGAAGGAATACCGTCTTCCATTACAGTCACCAATAATTCTTTTATTTACATTTTTACATTCACACTTTGGCATTTCCTTAATTATAGTTCCTATGACATCTATATGATTAAGTCTCCCGATATTCATAAAATTAAAAGCTAAATTCAGAAATTATAAAAAATTACTATATCTCAAATTATTAAAAAACAAGAAAGGAAGCTAACTT